GGCGCAGGCTCTCCACCCGATTGGGCAGGCGTCCGCAGCCCAGTTCCGCACCCCGACGACCAGCTGGACCGGCTTTCGCTGCTTCTTTGCAAATGAACGCAAAAAGTTTCGGGGTTTTGCTCGCCTGCCCGCTCAGGTGGAGAGCCTGCGCCTCCCCTTCTCCTGTGGCCAGGGAAAGAGGGCCGGCACCGAGCCTGTCGTGGAGGACTTTTTAGGCCCCGGATGCCCCCCCTCACCCCAGGGCCAGGCACTGCAGCTCCGCAGCTGGAGGGAACCCTCCAGACCTTCGGTTTTCCCGCCTTGCCAACGAGGCTTGCAAACTCGGCTCCTGCCAGGGAAGCAGCACCTTTTGGGACGGGCTCTGAGCAATTGCATGCTTCGGGGAAGGAGCACGGAGGCCTGCAAGCAGGCAGGCAGACGCTGGGTAGCACGAACTAAGTGGCGAGCAAAAACCTTTTGCGTTCGTTTGCAAAGCAGTGAAAGCCGGTCCAGCTGGTCGTCGGGGTGCGAAACTGGGCTGCGGATGCCAGGCCTTGCTCACCGGCAATGCTGGAGCCTCCCACATCAACCAGTAGGTCTTCCGTCGCTGGCTGCGTGGCTGCCTCCCTCCGGAGCTGTCTTCCCCCCCTCGGCCATGCGCCACCAGCGTCTTCTCTTTGCAAAGGAACGCAAAAGGTTTTGGGGTTTTGCTCGCCCGCCCGCCCGGGTGGAGACCAGAGTTGGCGGCTCTAACATCCTACTATGTTTGGCTGCAATCCTATCCACCTGTTTTGTGCAACCGATTGCAAGCCAAACGCTGCCTGGTTCTGAATTAATAGCTTGGGGGGGCGTGAAGCCCACTAAACTGTGTGATCCCATTGACAGAGCTGACTTTGCAGGACCCTCCATCAGATTGGAACTTTCCTGTCCTATTGAGCTTAGTTAAGGCAGGGCCGTTCTTAGCGTGGTGTTCACATGTTAGTTAGTGGGGCTGACTAGTTCTCTGGCAAGGGTGCCGCGCTCTGGCCTTCCTCCAAAGCGCCGTCCTCGTCCAAGGCACCACTTTCAGCCGGCTCCTTTGGCGCGGCCCCAATTCTGCTCTGGGGAAACGGGGGCGGAGCGGAGCGGGGCAGCGCTGCCTATCTCAATCACGTGGAGGGTCGTGTAAACACCACCAGATGGCTCCGCAGTTGCCGCCGCTACCACCGGGGGAGATGAGCAGGCTGTTGCTCCTTCCTGCCGCTATGGAAGATAGCCTGGTCCGCACCTTTGGGGGCCTCAGCCTCCAGCAGCCCCGCCGTGCCCATGGCAAGCTCCCCCCCGCTTGCCGCTTCAGCAAAGTGGGGAGAGCAGTCTTTTCCGAGGGGAGAAGCCAGGACGGCAGAGCCGTCCATATCAGAGCTGGACGCGGGCAGGGCCGGTGCACATGTTGCCTTACGCTCCACTTTTCAACCAAGTCCCGTTACGTGCGTGCGCATGCGCACATTTTGCGGCTCCCAGTTTTTTTTTTCTGAGGGAAACGGGTCCAAGTGGCTCTTTCACCATTTTAGGTTGCCGACCCCTGGTCTAGGACAATTTGCCACACCCACATTGCCACTCCCACTTCATCCTGGGCCTCCCACCGTAGCCAATCCAACACAGGCATTCATCCTTGGCTGAAACTCTGCCGGTGCTCCTCCCAAACCATTGGTCCCCCATCACTCCTTCCCTGCTCCCTTGTCTCAGGCAATTCACTAAGGAACAATTTTTCCTGGCTGATTTGCTGCATGGTATAATTCATATTCATATTTTTTCTCATTAGCTCAATACTTGATGACAAAGTAAAAACAGAATTTTAGAAATGTCTCTAAATTTAATAAAAAGAAAAAAACTGAAATATCATATTGGCATAACTATTCAGACCCTTCACTCCGTACTTTGTTAAAGTACCTTTGGCATCAATTACAGCCTCAAGTCTTTTTGGGTATGACATGACAAGCTTTGTATATCTGAATGGTAGGTTGGATGGCGAGCATCAGTGGACAGCCATTTTCAAGTCTTCCAGAGATACTCAACAGGGTTCAAGTAAGAGCTCTGTCTGGGCCGCTCTAGGATATTCACAGAGTTGTCCCTAAGCCACTCCTGTGTTGTCTTGGCTGTGCGCTGAAGATCGTTGTCATGTTGGAAAGTAAACCTTCAGCCCAATCTAAGGTTCTGAAGACTGTGGAACAGGTTTTCATCAAGGATATCCCTGTACTTTGCTCCATTCAGCTTTCCCTCAACCTTGACCAGTCTCCCAGTCCCTGCTGCTGAAAAACACCCCCACAGCATGATGCTGCCACCACCATTCTTCACTGTTGGGATGATATTGAGCAGGTGATGAGCGGTGTCTGGTTTCCTCCAGACATAACGTATAGAATTGAGGCCAAACAGTTCAATCTTGGTTTCATCAAACAAGAGAATCTTGTTCCTCAGTCTGAGAGTCCTTCAGGTGCTTTTTGCAAGTGGGCTTTCATATGTTTTGCATTGCAGGGAGGCTTCTGTCTAGCCACTCTGCCATAAAGGTCCAGATCGGTGGAGGGATGCAGTGATGGTTGTCCTCCGGTAACTCTGTTCCATGTCCACACAGGGTCTCTGGAGTTCAGACAGAGTGACTACCGGGTTCTTGGTCATTTTTTTTTATTGCTAAGGCCCTTCTACCCCAATTGCTCAGTTTGACCAGGGGACCAGCGTCTGTAAGAGATCTGGTTGTGCCAAACGTCTTCCATTCGAGAATTATG